ATTCTACCCATTACAAGACGATGCAGGATCCTACGTTTTTTCAGTGATACTGAGTGTTTAGCGACTTCAATTTTCGACAGCAGTACATTGCTAAGGAGGGCCTTTCTCTTTACAAGCTGTTTTCGGCGTGGTGTCAAAGACAGAGTTTCCACAAAAGGCTTTTAAGAGTCTTTTGTTTTTGCCAAACGTTCAATCTGTTTGCTTTTTGTTTTTATTTTTATTTTTAGTTCAGTCACTTCCCTTTTAAGTTGATAAACCATTCCTTGTGATTTTCCCAAAGCTCTCCTTCGTATTTTTTTCAGATTGTTTGCTTTGTTAGTGCTTTTTGTGGGAAGTTTGACAAGCAGTCTGGGTCGAGGTTGATCAGGTTGGTGAGATGGACCGTGCTGTGGACTCGGTTCAGGTAAGGCAGATTGAGGACTGCACCGTGGACGAACCGGAAAGGACAGAGGGGAGTCCAGCTGCTCACTCTGATGACAAGAGTTGTCTTCCATAACCACTTGTCTGTTCAACAACTTCTTCAACAGCTAAGAGACGTTGCCTTTTCCTTTCTCTGCTCAGTCTGTTCGGAAGTTTATTCTTACGATTTCTTTCAGAGAGTTTTCTTTAGCTAAGAACATCCGCCGTTACATAATTCTGACGGGATCTTAGTCTTTCCTTTTCCAGAAATTTAGGACCTTTGGCCTTTTGCCTCTCTCTGTAAGCTTTTTGAATTTCAGCTTGACTTTTTCCCATCCTGAAAATGAAAATAAAACAAATAACTCCTTAGTAACCATGAGATAACTTTGGTAACGTCAGTATGATACATACGTTATCATGTGTATAAGCCTGGTTAATGTTAAATACCTCCAAACGACTTTTAAAAGGTAAGTATTAAAGTCTATTATTTGTTTGCTAAACTATTAAATTAAGATATGAATACATTTAAAATGCTCGGGATCTGCATTCTTTCATGGAATATTATTGGAAACTGGAAACTGCACAGGTCACAAGGTTACAGAATAGTAAGTATTTACTAACATCTAGTCAAATTAACAGTTTTTTTGTAAAAAGATTGTGTGACTTATGTTGATTCGTGGTTTATAAATTCCTAAGCTGACGTTATAGCATCTAAATTCAATGATTTTCAGATATGCTGTCATTTCTTTATCAAATAAGGTTACCACTATTACATTGATTCATACGTTACCGCGGGTAACGTGTGTATCACAGAGAAAAACAAGCACTGAAGTGTTAAAACAGCAAAATAAATCACTCGTGTAACTCTAGATATATCTATATAACCTTAATGCATATAACTAATCTCAAAATCTGACACATCTAGTCAACTAACCTGCACTTTCAGCGCTCGTCCATACATAGAGATTAATGCTGTTTGAATTTCTTCTTCAAGAACCTTTGAAGCAAATAGCGCTGCCGTAGTTTCGTACTTTTGACTGACTATCATTGCAGTTTTGCATTTTGAGTAACGTCAGTAGCTGTAACGTATGTGTCACATCAATCTAATCTTCGTCGGCTTCTAGTTGTCTGAAAGAGTTTCCAATGAAGTCTTGTGATTTATGACGTTCATTTACATACGACCCTGTTTCTGATAATGAAGCCTGATAAACAGTACTTTAACCGTACATGTGGTAACGTTTGTATCAAGAACAATTCACGCTTGACCCATGATTTCTTTAGTCTGAAGTTACCAGCCCAATATGGTACTATTTTTTTATTTTGGCAAAATAATTATGTATTTCTATATAAAATACATTATTCCTCGGCTTTACTAATCATGACTTAAAAAATAGATATATTAGTAGGACCAATCTTGTTGTGATAACGTGCGTATCTTGTAGCCTGGTGACATTTTCCAGCTAAACAAACACATTGCTTTATTGTGTTTGATGGTAATAAAGATGTATGCAATTATCAGAAGAAATGTTCAGTGACTGGATATACATCAGAACCAATAACCTGCAGGGTAGTCTTTAGTCACAGCCAGACATTATACAATGAAAAGTTTGCCGGCGACAGGTAACGTACGTATCGTTTTGCAACATTAAGCCTCTGGCATTTTCATAACGTTACCTACAGCAATGACTTTTCTAGTTCAAAAAGGTTGTGAACAATAACTCTACTGAGCAAAATATTGCAGAAGGCAATAGTGTAGGGATAGATGTTCCCATTAGACTATAGTGCTGGGTATATATTTGCAGAAGGCATTAGTGTAGGGATAGATGTTCCCATTAGACTATAGTGCTGGGTATATATTTGCAGAAGGCATTAGTGTAGGGATAAATGTTCCCATTAGACTACAGCGCTGGGTATATATTTGCAGAAGGCATTAGTGTAGGGATAGATGTTCCCATTAGACTATAGTGCTGGGTATATATTTGCAGAAGGCATTAGTGTAGGGATAGATGTTCCCATTAGACTATAGTGCTGGGTATATATTTGCAGAAGGCATTAGTGTAGGGATAAATGTTCCCATTAGACTACAGCGCTGGATATATATTTGCAGAAGGCATTAGTGTAGGGATAGATGTTCCCATTAGACTATAGTGCTGGGTATATATTTGCAGAAGGCATTAGTGTAGGGATAGATGTTCCCATTAGACTACAGTGCTGGGTATATATTTGCAGAAGGCATTAGTGTAGGGATAGATGTTCCCATTAGACTAAAGTGCTGGGTATATATTTGCAGAAGGCAATAGTGTAGGGATAAATGTTCCCATTAGACTATAGTGCTGTGTATATATTTGCAGAAGGCATTAGTGTAGGGATAAATGTTCCCATTAGACTATAGTGCTGGGTATATATTTGCAGAAGGGTATATGGTAGGGATAGATGTTCCCATTAGACTATAGTGCTGGGTATATATTTGCAGAAGGCATTAGTGTAGGGATAGATGTTCCCATTAGACTATAGTGTTGGATATATATTTGCAGAAGGCATTAGTGTAGGGATAAATGTTCCCATTAGACTACAGTGCTGGGTATATATTTGCAGAAGGCATAAGTGTAGGGATAAATGTTCCCATTAGAATATAGTGCTGGGTATATATTTGCAGAAGGCAACAGTGTAGGGATAGATGTTCCCATTAGACTATAGTGCTGGGTATATATTTGCAGAAGGCATTAGTGTAGGGATAGATGTTCCCATTAGACTACAGTGCTAGATATATATTTGCAGAAGGCAACAGTGTAGGGATAGATGTTCCCATTAGACTACAGTGCTGGGTATATATTTGCAGAAGGCATTAGTGTAGGGATAAATGTTCCCATTAGACTACAGTGCCGGATATATATTTGCAGAAGGCATTAGTGTAGGGATAGATGTTCCCATTAGACTACAGTGCTGGGTATATATTTGCAGAAGGCATTAGTGTAGGGATAGATGTTCCCATTAGACTATAGTGCTGGATATATATTTGCAGAAGGCATTGCCGGTGCTGGATATATATTTGCAGAAGGCATTAGTGTAGGGATAGATGTTCCCATTAGACTACAGTGCCGGATATATATTTGGAAGGCATTATATTTGCAGAAGGCAGTGCTGGGTATATATTTGCAGAAGGCATAAGTGTAGGGATAGATGTTCCCATTAGACTATAGTGCTGGGTATATATTTGCAGAAAGCTGTGATATTGAATACTTCCAATATATTGTGCGGATGCCTGGTTTCGAACCTGCAACCCTTCGCTTACTAGCTTGGCGGTTTTATCAACTAGCTCGCGTATAGGTTACGAAGGATTGCTGTGAAGATTGTTTGTCAGTATGAACAAAGTGTTCCTCACAAGACGGGTAGTGCGGCCAGCGCACGTGCAGGTTACGGGTAGCGTTCAGAGCACGTGCATTGCGCGTGTAAGGCAAGATACCGGCTGCTACTCGCATCCCAGTTGATTTCAACAGTAAACAACACATATTAAAATTATATCTAAAGTATATCTTCGGTCGGTTCATAAGTTGGATCAAAACCTCCTCCTCGGTAGTGCTGGATATATATTTATAGATTGGAAGAAGGCTGTAGTATAGGGATAGTTGTTGTCAGTAAACTATAGTTCAAGATTTATATTGGCAGAAGGCTGTAGTGTAAGGTTAGTTGTTGTCAGTAAACTATAGTTCAAGATATATATTGGCAGAAGGCTGTAGTATAGGGATAGTTGTTGTCAGTAAACTATAGTTCAAGATATATATTGGCAGAAGGCTGTAGTATAGGGATAGTTGTTGTCAGTAAACTATAGTTCAAGATATATATTGGCAGAAGGCTGTAGTATAGGGATAGTTGTTGTCAGTAAACTATAGTTCAAGATCTATATTGGCAGAAGGCTGTAGTATAGGGTTAGTTGTTGTCAGTAAACTATAGTTCAAGATCTATATTGGCAGAAGGCTGTAGTATAGGGTTAGTTGTTGTCAGTAAACTATAGTTCAAGATCTATATTGGCAGAAGGCTGTAGTATAGGGTTAGTTGTTGTCAGTAAACTATAGTTCAAGATCTATATTGGCAGAAGGCTGTAGTATAGGGTTAGTTGTTGTCAGTAAACTATAGTTCAAGATCTATATTGGCAGAAGGCTGTAGTATAGGGTTAGTTGTTGTCAGTAAACTATAGTTCAAGATATATATTGGCAGAAGGCTGTAGTATAGGGTTAGTTGTTGTCAGTGAACTATAGTTCAAGATATATATTGGCAGAAGGCTGTAGTATAGGGTTAGTTGTTGTCAGTAAACTATAGTTCAAGATCTATATTCGCAGTTGGGATAGATGGGTTGGTATTCATTATTCTGTCAGTCCATAGCGTTGGGATTGATGGCAGAATATATATTTCCACATTGCAAATGTATCTATTAAACTATAGCTAAGATGCATGTACTAGACTTTCTGTTTCGGAAGTGCAAGGATATATGATTCTGGTAAGTGGATAAATGATTTTGGTATGCTATGGTAGGGGGATAGGTTATGCTGGCAAAGACTGACGGTTGATGTGTTGATGTGATGTGGGAGTTTATAACGAACGGAAACTGATGACATGTTTATTGTAAAAGTTGTGAGGATTTACAACTCGGATGTTGGCCATGCTTCGTCAGCTAGAGTGTAGACAGACACGCTTCCACTGGCCTCAGACGTCACAATCACCATAGGAGTCCCAGTACTCGAGAACCTGAAGAACAAATCATTATGACTTGAAGGTCTCCGTTGTTCTACATGCACACATTTACCACACAACGTGATCTGTTGTGTACAAACACCCTTAAGCTCTGTGCTCCTGTACACAACTAGCATGAACAGTGTCAGTGGGGATGCTGCAGTCTTCTGTCCAGAAAAGAGAGTGGTGTTAATTGTTAACACGTGTATATCCAGACAACATTGTCTGTGAACATCACATCGCATGTGGAGCACATAACAGTGATGCGCTGGTGTTTGGCTTGAATGTGGCGATTTGTTACGACGCGTACATAGTCGCCGAGCATAGAAACTAAGGGTTTCATCACCTGGGCAGTAACGTTTACCTCTGATGGCCTGGTGCAAGGTTACAGGGATTAGAACGACACCCGATATATAAATGCCCAGTTTTTTAGTAACCTATTCCATGTAGCATCTCTACGTTCTAGCAGTCTGAAGCCCACCAGTCAAATCACAATTACTGTGTTAAAGAAAGAGTAAAGAGCCAATTTGTTACTTAGAATAATCAAATATTAGCAACACTAATGGCTCAAGGAGATTTTACAACCTTTTACTAAAGTGAAAAAAATCGAGAATGACACCCTACAAGCGGGGAATGTTTAAACACTATGTTTGAGCAGAGTAACAAAACATATATCTTGTTTATGCTCAGATACATGAGGGTGTGTTTCTTCAGGAGGAATTGCCCATGTTCTAACATATTACCATGTGGCTTTGTTAGAAACCATCTTATGTGCCAACAACATCCACATCCACTAATCTCTCATACACGTGTCCTAACATGTAAAATGACAGTAGTGCATCGGGGACCTGTAAAACTTACTTAATGTCAGAAATTATGGCATCTCCCATATCTTCCCTGGCGTACAGAGTTTCCCATGTTGCGTCTATTTCCCCAGCTCTGTGCACGCTCTGGAACTCTGGGACAGGGGTACTGGTTGTTGGCTGCAGGCTATAGACGTAGAGCATGCCGTTCCTCCCGCTTCCTATCACCATCACTGTTTTTCCATTGAAGTTGCCAACAGCCACAGAATTGGGTTCCGGACCCTCGAATTAACAAATACTGTGATTAATATGGAGAAAAGGTACTATCCAGAAGTTAGGCATGGAAATAAACTTATAATGATTTCGATGCATAAGTGGTTTGTACTCTCACCATCCATGTTGATCTAGCATCCATCTCCTGCACTGGGGTTTGGGAGAAGGTGGCGCAGTTACCATTGAATGTATCCGGGACGTACTGGCGACTGTATCTCTCCAGCTCGTCACCGCTCTCCCAGGTTCGGGCCATCGACTGTGTATTCCAGATAGAGAACCCACGTCCGCCGAAAGCATAGGGGACGTTCGGCGTGACGTCAAAACCATCAATACTGCTGACGTACAGGCGACCTGCAGGAATTGTATATACAAACAGTATACACACATAGTAGATTTGTTGAACTAGTGAATGCTTCTAAAGCCTCTATGACACTGAAGCATCCATTGGTACTATAGATGCTAGATCTCATTGAATAGTGTCTGCATCTATTGTAGGTCAAGATGAAGATTAGAGTTGTATTGGGCTTGCCGAGTTACATCATAACTTTATAGTTGGTCACAAATGGTCATCAGTAAGAGCCGTCGAATGAGGATCGGGTGGTCAAGGCTCTGTGACAGGTACGACTGTGGGTCATCGTGTCAAAAATCAGTTACTTACAGGCTGCCAGGGATTGTGTCCACGTGGCAGCCGTTAAGCAAATCACTCACAATATACACTCGCTATGGTCTGTACCTAGTTCTGTGTCATCGCCCAACTCGGATTCGAGGGTGGTATCATCAACATTCCAAGCTGGAAACGTATGAAAACAAGATAACATGTATAACATGATTTGTCACATATAAACAGAAAGTGCGTGGATATAAGGAGAACATAAACACTCATTCTCGTAGAATTTAACCAAACGTGTCGACTTTTTATGGCATCTGACTGAGGGAAATATAATTTGCCATTTCTCAAGAATAAACGATGCATCTGAGGTCATTAACAACTCTGAGAAAAAATGTCGCAGTGGAATGATGAATGATGAACCATATTCCAACTAAACATAAAACAAATTTAGAGTGTCACCAATATTCGCTGTAGGTATGCACCATATGGACACCCACAGTGAGGACAAGCAGATCAGTCAGTGTCACCAATATTCGCTGTAGGTATGCACCATCTGGACACGCACAGTGAGGACAAGCAGATCAGTCAGTGTCACCCATATTCGCTGTAGATAGACACCATATGGACACCCACAGTGAGGACAAGCAGATCAGCCAGTGTCACCAATATTCGCTGTAGATAGACACCATGTGGACATCCACAGTGAGGACAAGCAGATCAGTCAGTGTCACCCATATTCGCTGTAGATAGACACCATATGGACACCCACAGTGAGGACAAGCAGATCAGCCAGTGTCACCAATATTCGCTGTAGATAGACACCATATGGACATCCACAGTGAGGACAAGCAGATCACCCAGTGTATCCCATATTCGCTGTAGATAGACACCATATGGACACCCACAGTGAGGACAAGCAGATCAGTCAGTGTCACCCATATTCGCTGTAGATAGACACCATATGGACACCCACAGTGAGGACAAGCAGATCACCCAGTGCCACCCAAATTTGCTGTAGATAGACACCATATGGACACCCACAGTGAGGACAAGCAGATCAGTCAGTGTCTCCCATATTCGATGTAGATAGACACCATATGGACACCCACAGTGAGGACAAGCAGATCAGCCAGTGTCACCCATATTCGCTGTAGATAGACACCATATGGACACCCACAGTGAGGACAAGCAGATCACCCAGTGCCACCCAAATTTGCTGTAGATAGACACCATATGGACACCCACAGTGAGGACAAGCAGATCAGTCAGTGTCTCCCATATTCGATGTAGATAGACACCATATGGACACCCACAGTGAGGACAAGCAGATCAGTCAGTGTCTCCCATATTCGATGCAGATAGACACCATATGGACAACCACAGTGAGGACAAGCAGATTAGTCGGTGTCACCCATATTCGCTGTAGATAGACACCATATGGACAGCCACAGTGAAGACAAGCAGATCACCCAGTGTATCCCATATTCGCTGTAGATAGACACCATATGGACAGCCACAGTGAAGACAAGCAGATCAGTCAGTGTCACCCATACTTGATGTAGATAGACACCATATGGACAGCCACAGTGAGGACAAGCAGATCAGCCAGTGTCTCCCATATTTGCTGTAGATAGACACCATATGGACAGCCACAGTGAAGACAAGCAGATCAGCCAGTGTCATCCATATTCGCTGTAGATAGACACCATATGGACAGCCACAGTGAAGACAAGCAGATCAGCCAGTGTCACCCATATTCGCTGTAGATAGACACCATATGGACAGCCACAGTGAAGACAAGCAGATCAGTCAGTGTCTCCCATATTCGCTGTAGATAGACACCATATGGACAGCCATAGTGAGGACAAGCAGATCAGTCAGCGTCATCCATATTTGCTGTAGATAGACACCATATGGACACCCACAGTGAGGACAAGCAGATCACCCAGTGTCTCCCATATTCGCTGTAGATAGACACCATATGGACAGCCACAGTGAGGACAAGCAGATCAGCCAGTGTCACCCGTATTCGCTGTAGATAGACACCATATGGACAGCCACAGTGAGGACAAGCAGATCAGCCAGTGCAACCCATATTCGCTGTACGTAGACACCATATGGACACCCACAGTGAGGACAAGCAGATCAGCCAGTGCCACCCATATTCGCTGTACGTAGACACCATATGGACACCCACAGTGACGACAAGCAGATCAGTCAGTGTCACCCATATTCGCTGTAGATAGACACCATATGGACAGCCACAGTGAGGACAAGCAGATCAGACAGCGTCATCCATATTTGCTGTAGATAGACACCATATGGACAGCCACAGTGAGGACAAGCAGATCAGCCAGTGTCACCCATATTCGCTGTAGATAGACACCATATGGACAGCCACAGTGAAGACAAGCAGATCAGCCAGTGTCACCCATATTCGCTGTAGATAGACACCATATGGACAGCCACAGTGAGGACAAGCAGATCAGCCAGTGTCACCCATATTCGCTGTAGATAGACACCATATGGACAGCCACAGTGAGGACAAGCAGATCAGTCAGCGTCATCCATATTTGCTGTAGATAGACACCATATGGACACCCACAGTGAGGACAAGCAGATCACCCAGTGTCTCCCATATTTGCTGTAGATAGACACCATATGGACAGCCACAGTGAAGACAAGCAGATCAGCCAGTGTCACCCATATTCGCTGTAGATAGACACCATATGGACAGCCACAGTGAGGACAAGCAGATCAGCCAGTGCCACCCATATTCGCTGTAGATAGACACCATATGGACAGCCACAGTGAGGACAAGCAGATCAGTCAGTGTCATCCATATTCGCTGTAGATAGACACCATATGGACACCCACAGTGACGACAAGCAGATCAGCCAGTGTCTCCCATATTCGCTGTAGATAGACACCATATGGACACCCACAGTGAGGACAAGCAGATCAGCCAGTGCCACCAATATTCGCTGTAGATAGACACCATATGGACAGCCACAGTGAAGACAAGCAGATCAGTCAGTGTCACCCATATTTGATGTAGATAATCATCATATGGACAGCCACAGTGAGGACAAGCAGATCAGTAAGCGTCATCCATATTTGCTGTAGATAGACACAATATGGACATCCACAGTGAGGATAAGCAGATCGGCCAGTGTCACCCGTATTCTCTGTAGATAGACACCATATGGACACCCACAGTGAGGATAAGCAGATCAGCCAGTGTCATCCATATTCGCTGTAGATAGACACCATATGGACACCCACAGTGAGGACAAGCAGATCAGCCAGTGCCACCAATATTCGCTGTAGATAGACACCATATGGACAGCCACAGTGAAGACAAGCAGATCAGTCAGTGTCACCCATATTTGATGTAGATAATCATCATATGGACAGCCACAGTGAGGACAAGCAGATCAGTCCGCGTCATCCATATTTGCTGTAGATAGACACAATATGGACATCCACAGTGAGGATAAGCAGATCGGCCAGTGTCACCCGTATTCTCTGTAGATAGACACCATATGGACACCCACAGTGAGGACAAGCAGATCAGCCAGTGTCACCCATATTCGCTGTAGATAGACACCATATGGACAGCCACAGTGAAGACAAGCAGATCAGCCAGTGTCACCCATATTCGCTGTAGATAGACACCATATGGACAGCCACAGTGAGGACAAGCAGATCAGCCAGTGTCACCCATATTTGCTGTAGATAGACACAATATGGACATCCACAGTGAGGATAAGCAGATCGGCCAGTGTCACCCGTATTCGCTGTAGATAGACACCATATGGACAGCCACAGTGAAGACAAGCAGATCAGCCAGTGTCACCCATATTCGCTGTAGATAGACACAATATGGACAGCCACAGTGAGGACAAGCAGATCAGCCAGTGTCACCCATATTCGCTGTAGATAGACACCATATGGACAGCCACAGTGAAGACAAGCAGATCAGCCAGTGTCACCCATATTCGCTGTAGATAGACACCATATGGACAGCCACAGTGAGGACAAGCAGATCAGTCAGCGTCATCCATATTTGCTGTAGATAGACACAATATGGACATCCACAGTGAGGATAAGCAGATCGGCCAGTGTCACCCGTATTCTCTGTAGATAGACACCATATGGACAGCCACAGTGAGGACAAGCAGATCAGCCAGTGTCACCCATATTCGCTGTAGATAGACACCATATGGACAGCCACAGTGAAGACAAGCAGATCAGCCAGTGTCACCCATATTCGCTGTAGATAGACACCATATGGACAGCCACAGTGAGGACAAGCAGATCAGCCAGTGTCACCCATATTCGCTGTAGATAGACACCATATGGACAGCCACAGTGAGGACAAGCAGATCAGCCAGTGTCACCCATATTCGCTGTAGATAGACACCATATGGACAGCCACAGTGAGGACAAGCAGATCAGCCAGTGTCATCCATATTCGCTGTAGATAGACACCATATGGACACCCACAGTGACGACAAGCAGATCAGCCAGTGTCTCCCATATTCGCTGTAGATAGACACCATATGGACACCCACAGTGAGGACAAGCAGATCAGCCAGTGCCACCAATATTCGCTGTAGATAGACACCATATGGACAGCCACAGTGAAGACAAGCAGATCAGTCAGTGTCACCCATATTTGATGTAGATAATCATCATATGGACAGCCACAGTGAGGACAAGCAGATCAGTCAGCGTCATCCATATTTGCTGTAGATAGACACAATATGGACATCCACAGTGAGGATAAGCAGATCGGCCAGTGTCACCCGTATTCTCTGTAGATAGACACCATATGGACACCAACAGTGAGGACAAGCAGATCAGCCAGTGTCACCCATATTCGCTGTAGATAGACACCATATGGACAGCCACAGTGAAGACAAGCAGATCAGCCAGTGTCACCCATATTCGCTGTAGATAGACACCATATGGACAGCCACAGTGAAGACAAGCAGATCAGCCAGTGCCACCCATATTCGCTGTAGATAGACACCATATGGACATCCACAGTGAGGACAAGCAGATCAGCCAGTGTCTCCCATATTCGCTGTAGATAGACACCATATGGACAGCCACAGTGAGGACAAGCAGATCAGCAAGTGCCACCAATATTCGCTGTAGATAGACACCATATG